TTCCAATTACCATTTTGTTTTGTTTTTGTTCACCCCGATGTGCGTGTGTTATTGTTTCTCGTGAGGCATATTTTCTCTAGCCGTATGAATGAAAATACATACATGTTGTTCCTTTTGTAACTGAGCGTTTCCGTTCGTTTTGCTTAGCTTTTTAGGTGTTTTGGGTGAAGCAAATAGGAAAGTTCTTTTACGAATAGTTGACAGTTTATTCAATTCGAGGGGAACAATGGACTGCACTTTGAGGCAAGAATATAGGTGGAAACTTACCTTAGCATTGTGCACACGAGGTGTTAACTAACGCGATGCATTTACTGATCAAACATTCAAAATACATTATACAAAGATGCCCACACCACACACTTGCGTAGCTGATATTTATAATAGCATCGTTGAAGAAACTCAAATCAGAGTGATTAATTCACCATGAGTGGCCCTGTACATAGATAGCTTCAATTCATCTCCTAGCATTCCGCTGGAGTGAATCATTATTTGTCGTTGGGCTAGACAACTGACCTGTGAAATCTGATAGATTGATTAAACCAGAATACTTCTTATGAGTAATTCTCCCAAAAGGCGCATGTTCCTCGATGAAATTTGCCAACAATTGGGAAACGTTTTTGTTTTGCTTACGATAGCGCATGGCAACGAAGGATACATTATTGCCAAATTATCACCTGATCCCCATCCCCCACTGCTGTGGATAATAGCTTTTGTTGACAATATATTATGCGATATCTACGCTGAGGCCTGAGAATAAATACTCGGAAAGAATTTTTTGTTTCAATTTTCTTTTGAATCACTGTGTTTTCAAGATTTTTTCCTGGTATTCATCTATCACTGAGCACAAGTACTCATGAATGGGAGCTAATCCCCAAGGTTTCATTCACGTAGAAGTGATTCATGTTTGAATGGTTATTAAAAAGAGATATCTGAATTCTAGCATGCAGTGAGTTCTGCCAGGTAACATTTCTTCAGGTTATGCGCTACTGACAACTAGTGAAATTTTTAAACCTCCCTACAAAACGATTGCACGCCCACACGTAGCCTTATGCTTCTCTGATGGGCTGCGGTGAGACGTAACGAAATCCTTCAATCAAGCTTGTTGCTTGGATCCCGAGAAGTATACTGGAGTTAGAACAAAGTAGGTGACGAGCATTGACATATCTGTATGAACCTGCAGTACGGAGTTTACAGTTGGTAAGTGCACGGCAGAAGTCACCGGAAATTGTGCTATATCGGAGATTATTTGGTAACTCGTGATAGTTGGCAATAAAACAAAATAATGCCTTTACTTAAGAAAAGGGAATGGCGTTTAAACAGCAGACTAATTTTGTAGCGGCTTCAGACAGACAGTGTAACATGCTCGAGAGTTGTCGCCATCTCTGGTCTGCATGTTCCGAATGTATGGTTTCGCATGTCTGCGGGTATTGGTTGCTTGGAGCATTTGCTCAAGCACCTTTCTCCTTTGTAGCATGGATTTTTCCAGGAGCGTCGATATTCTGAAGCTGGTTCTTCAGCTAGGTCTTTCACTTTGTTTAATTCACTGCCACCTCCGGCGAAGTAACTTCACGGTGCGTGACTTTAGTGCTACACCTTCGCTTGTTAAGCATCTTACTTTCAGATACTCTTGAGAGTAGTTAGACTAGACTTCCTATTCTTTTAAAGGGACAATAATTTTCCATTGACTAACTGGTTCTTATTCCTGATAACTATTGGACTGTCGAGGATCACTGAAAATTAGAGGCCAGATCACTTCTACAGGTAGTGGAATAGCATCCCTATCTCTGAAATTTCACTGAACAGCACCACCTAGAGGGGTGATTAGGATCAGAAAGTGTTCCAAGTGTCAAATGTCTGCAAAGTGTGCGCACGTTAAATAAACATGCATTGATCAAGCAAAAGTCAAAATGTGATCACTGTCTGGAAAACTCAATGTAGACAAATTTTCGGCACAATGTCTTGAGTGCGAGAAAACAATTTCTGTCCAATTTTCATCATAAAAGAAACAGGCTAACTGTATTCACGCTTTCTGGGGTTCGTGTCTTCACGAATTAAAAGGAGTCGTTGACTTGTTGCAGATGATGTACAAAGGGAGACTGCTGGAATCCATGTTTCTCTCGTAATTCCGTTTGGTTCTCCAACACAGTGGTATTTCTACTACCGGATATGAAGGCCATCCAATCTAGTAACCGGGTCAATGAAAAACTGACCGGGGCAAACCAGGAAAAGGACCCCTCCTGCCATANCCTGCCATAACCACCATAAGCGTCTGAAGTTGCTTGGTAAGTAACCACTTCCAAATCGCACGCACATGCACCCCAATCCGCTCTCCCACGTTTCCCGTTGCCTTAGCTGCGGTAGTGTCAGGGTGCTCCGGTGTTCGGTGTTCCTGTTCGTTGATGATAGCCTGGAAGAAGAAGGAAAACGATGGCCAACCTAACAGTGCAAGTTACTGCTGGTACAAAGGTAAGAGTAGGGATAAAGAGGAGAAAATGATAAAACTAAGCAACGTTTGAGCTACAAATGAGCTACAGCACCAAAATTGTAGCGCATTTGTAGCCCCTTAGGCGGCTAATAGCGCGCTACAATGAACTACATTTTTAAAAATTCCGTTTTGTGATTTCCGTCTTCTCTGTTTCCTAATCCCTGATAAACCCCATATTTTCTCGCGATATCACTATGTCGTAAGGGGCTTAAACACATGTTTAGTAATGAATACAACACACTTTATCTTCCCTCATTCCTACTCTATCATGCTGGTCCTAATTAGAAGTTATCTTCAAACAAGCTTCTGCTGTAATAACTGGCTTTCTTGCAGATAACTGGGCGTATTAAAGAAGACCATTTACTTGCTGATATATACTATAAAAGTAAAAAGTATATTACTTTTTCTGTGTAATACTTTCCTGTCGCAAAATTCTGGTGGCAATTCTGTCCGCCCTATTTTTAAACAACCTGCGTATTTCAAGTTCAACACAATCCATGGAAAAATCGATCAATCTGGGGTTCATCTGAACAGCATCTAGTAACGTAATGCACATTTTATTATAATTACTTACTGATAACACCTTTTGTAATCAAACGACTTATAGGTTGTATTTTCTCATGTTTTCCGGTGTCATTCATCAGCACAGTTAACGAATCATGCAGTACCGTAGACATGGCACGTTTCACTGTATGCGCCACGTCTTTCCCAACCGTTTGCATCAATTGTTTCACCTAAGCACTCAACATACAACATAACTTAAACCTAAGAAATTTGTCATATGCACTGTCATTCGACAAATTTCGTTTCAATTCTTCCAGTTGCTCCACGTTGAATTCATATTGAGGGAAATGAGTTATACTTATAAAAGAAAACGTATTACGAATGAAATACGTGTTTCAAAATTAACTAACGTATTGGTCCTCAACACCTTGTTCTGTTTTCAAAGAGACTTGCCTCACCACGAATAGGACACTGAAATTGTTGCTTCCATTGTTGCGATAAAATGTCCAGCCAGATATGGATGACATTTTAAGAAGCTGAATAAAATTACCTTTTTTGTACGTTTATTGAAATAATTCTTGGGAAAAATTTGATAATGGAACCAAAGGTAATAACAATGAAACAAATATATCACAAAATTTTACTTAATATCCGATGGGCGTTAAGAAATAAGAACTTCCGCACAGCAGCAGCTAACGACAACCCAGCACAAGACAAGGGTCACTCGAACTATCGTTTCCCGCCGTAAATTAAAAAACAAGCAGGGAATTTTTTGACTCAAAAAACACAATCGTTTTGATTCATTCAAGAATGAAAATGAGTATTCAAACCAAAAACAAATATTATGAATACATTTTAAAGTTAAACTACTGTTGAGTAACAGATGTAGCTGATGTAGCTCATAAGTAGCTCCTTGTAGCCAATCGGCGCACTACATTGTGCTACCTGGGTGCGTGGACCTCGTGCACGTAATAAGCGAGACGTTTCCCGAAGTCTCCATAGTAGAAATTGTGAAGAGGTTTCAGGGGACGAAT